TATAGAATAAATATATAGAATAAATATATAGAATAAATATATAGAATAAATATATAGAATAAATATATAGAATAAATATATAGTTTGAATATATATACAGAATAAATATATAGTTTGAATATATATCTTGAAAAGAAATTTAAGAACAGTAGGTTATAAATTCCATAAGATTATAATAAAACTATAAGCAGAAATACTATTAGTAGGAACATTTAAAGAAGGAAATACTTAGATTGAAGGCAGCAGTAGTAGTATCAGCAGTGCTCGCTCTAGGAGTCTTACCGGCCGCTAGGATCAGCATCCGTAGTGTCTAGTGAGTATCTGCCGACATCAAAGGTAACAGAAAACGTGCTCATCCTTCTTCTGAGATTCCTACTTAAGCAGTCCCCTGCTGAGTATGATGCTGAGCAGCGTCAGGGGACTGCTGCATAACTGGTTCACTAGTTTCATCTGCTTTGCAGAGCACAGCACGCTGCAACCATGGCAAATACATCTCTTGCGCCCAGCATCCCAGCATTCGCAATGCGGCCACAACCTTGTAGATCCCTTCGATACTTTGCGTAGTCCCGATCTGTGTCTTGTCCCAATATTGCGTCCGTCCGTCCGCCGATCTTGTCACCGCAACAAAGTGCCAATCGTGCCCTTGCACGATGATGCCGGGCAGAAAAACAAGCCCAGAGAGGGCTGCTGCTGAGGTCTTTGGTCTGGATCCTCCAGAGGTGTCGACGCCCTGTGCCCGGAGGACCTGATCATCGAGGAAGTCCCAATGTGCAACAAGCCAAACTGTCATCTGGTTGACCGCGTCCGTCCATTTGTCGCCCGAATCCTTAGTCTCGATGCTGAAGAAGATTGGTCGCGATAGAAGCGCAGGATAGTCAGTATGGTTAACGGATTTGATTGGTGACTTCTTGGCGGCGTCCCGAAGCGCGGGGGTGTCTTGCTTGAGGAAGACGCAGAAATCGACTCTTTTGTTGTAGTGCGACCTCTTCCCACTTTGGCTGTAGTCAGGATGGATCTGTGCCCCAGTTCTGGAAGTTGTCAGATGCTTGAAATGATGACGGACACTGACAAAACTCACATGCTGCAAAAGCCCAAATGTCTGGAATCCCGGAAGGCGGCGTGGAGGACCAGGTGATGAACGGCGCAATTCCACTGGCTTTCGAAATGGTTGAAGTGCCTGCAATCTTCGGCATTGGACCATATTAACATTACGTCGGGTACACTGGGTGTGGGACCCAGCTCGTCCGCGGTGCGTGTGATGACCGATGCAATACTGGACTGGGATGGGGTTTGATCGGGCTCGAAAAAGTCGTCTGTGACATTTTCAAATAAATTTTGGGTGTCTGTGTTCTCTTTTGCTTCTTGTATCGATGCCTAGAATATGCGAATCACGTCAGTCAGGAGCAGCGACTGGTGGGGCATCGGCGGGATGGACGGCGAGTGCAGACGGTGGATATGGAGAACGGGTGCCGGGGACGAACAGCAGGGATGGATGCCGTAGGAGAACGGACCTTGGAGGATTTAGAGAGGATGCCTTTGCCCGTCCTGTTCAATCTATCTAGGCGAGAATTGAGGGCTTTAAGCTGCTCTGGAGGGGCGGCACGGCCCGTGAAGGTCATCGTTTCGGCGACATCTTCAATCTCCATCAGCGCAGCCTGCTTCCGCGGGCTCGATTGACGCGATCTCTTTTTGCTGCCGCTGCTCTTCGCTAGGGATGTTTGACTACAAATACTGAGAGCGCGATTCGAGACCCTCCCTGTATCTGAAGATGCTGCTGACTCGGTCTCGTTTTCGGCATTGATGGGCTGCGTGCGAAGTCCACGAGGTGTTGCATCGGGATCGATTCCGGGGTCGACGCGGGGTCGCTTCGGGTTTGGGCTTGTCGGTGTCCCATCGCGCTGGGCGTTCGAAGCATCCGGACGGGCCTGATCGGCCATGTGTTGAAGCTGCTCCCGTAATAGCGATTTTGTGCTCGTCGGCGGGGAGGGCAAGCGGGGATGCTCAATTGGTTCGTCTTGTGGGAGTTTACGTTTTCGCGAGTTGGTGCCGCCGACGTTGCGATCGAAATCTGCTGGGCAAGGAACAGGTGGTGGGAGTAGCGAGATCCAGCGAAAAATCCTCTCGTGGAGTTCCATGCGTGGCGCGCAGGATGTCGACCTGAACCGAGGCGGTGGGATGGTTATTGGCGTCGAATCTGATGAGGTCGATAGCTGAAGTAATTGCGCGGGAAGTTCGATTGAAGCAAGTCAACAACGCCATCGCCAACTCACGCCGCATTAGCGTGGCGTGTGCCGTTGCCGGGCACCGGGAGACTCTGCACGGACCACTTCAAAGTTTCACCGACGAATCTCCGGTTGATGACTCATCTTCAATGGTCAAGATTACTCCGTTTCAAGAAGGACACAAAAAGAGTTAAGAAACCATGTCGTCTCGCTACATATCGCTGCACTTTTGCTATACAAAGTGCTGGGCTTTCATCCAGCCGCTTTCGATCCTGCGACATATCAGCCGGGCGTGTTGGGTACTCTGGCTGGCTGAAGCCTCCGGGTTCCACCCCAGCCTGGCCGGATGCCCCACTGGACTTCGCGCGCGCGCCGGCACTGCGTGTGACAGTTGGCCTTCGGATTGAAGCCGGCGAACCACCGCCCGTGCCTAAAGTTATGGTCTCTTTGCGGAAAGCTTGACTTACCGGACTTTGTGTTTTCTCTTCCAAAATGGACGTTTCCGTATGCTTGCGACCGCCTGTGGTGACAACTATAGCACATTCACCAAAACGATGCGGTACTTGTGCGAGATAAATTAAAGCTCGACATATAGCTGAGCCCAGTAGTTTGACATGTTAATTCCTGCATTTAATTGAAACAGATCGGTCTCTTTCCGGACTGCGTAGGTATGGATCGTCAACGGCCCGATCGATGCACCTTTCTGGAGAGCGGTAGCGGCGGCAGCCATCTGACCAACCCTCTTGGTGATCTCGGCAATGCGATGGCGATTTAACGAGGGCGAAACGGCCTTGTAGGACTCAGCTGCAGCCGCCGTATGCGGGCCAGCAGAGGCATCTTCATCGCCTTCCAAGGCTACGATAGTCGATATAAGATGCTGTAGTATGTTGACCGTGGCGAAATGCGTGTCTTGAGTGATGCCAAAACCTAAAGACGAAAAGGCATTTGATACATGGAATGAGGAGAATGACCATGCCCTTCATAACAATTGTTCATCGCCGAGACCTTGATAGCAGCCCAAGCAATCCGGACAGCGTTTACGATTCCAGTTCGTCATGCGTCCCACAGCTGCATATCTTTTATACAATCTCGGACGCATCACAAACCTTTCCATGAAGTAGACTCCTTTGCTCAACGTCAGTACAACACAGCCAGACAAGTCATCCAAGGTTCGACTCGCTGTGATGGCAGTTTGGGACTGAATACTATGGGTAAGAGTAGCAAGAGTCCCCCAGGCACAATTTCTTCACATTCTCAACTTCCCCAGCCATGCTGTACCATCAATACATACTCAGGACAGCCGTTTCAGTGACGAGGATGAGGGATCCCGGAAGGTTTCTCCGGAGGACCGGATGAAACCGGCCGGAAGGTCTGATTCTTATGAAAACAGTCGAAACTAATTGGTCGGGGGCAATAGTAAAGCCAAACGTGTCCGACTGGATTCTGCAGTCATCGTTCAGCAATCCAAATAATAACGCAAAGAAGCCACTATCCCACATTTTCATTACTTAAATAATGGATCGGCGAGATTGAAAAATGATACATTCGTAAAGCGATTCGTACCTTCCGAACCTCTGGCTCAGGGGACACTGATAGCATGTCGAATTCCTAGGAGTCTGACGCCAGCGAAGTGAACGCACTCACCGCAATTAGCCGTGGATTTAAGTCATTCGATCCGGACCGGTCCAAACGACCGAGTCTTTCTGCAAGCCGAGACCCTGTTTTGAGCGTGAGACTTGCTAAGAAACCACTCTTCTTGAACCCACCAGGTTTTGCGATTGAGTGGATTGTGGACGAGGACAAAGAGTAGGTGGGCAATGTGTGAGTAAATAAGATATCTGTCTGTGCTTGCCTCGTCGTGTCATTGCATTGGCAGGAAGGGGCTCACAGTATCAAGGGAGTACATTAATTCAACCACATTGCATGTATCCTCGGCACTGGAATCGCAAGTAGGAGAGCGAGGGGAGCTCCGCGAGGCCGTCTGTGACCGTAACCTTGTCCCAGTACGGCCTGATGATATCCGGGGTAACGCGCTTGGCCAGCTCTCATGTTCCCTTGTTGCTATTATGAGTATCGGAGTCGCGGATTGTGTACATCATCAGCGCGCCGTGCTCGGGGTGAACTCCCGATCGAGAAGTTGTGGATAGGACGCACAAAACACCCTTCTCGCACCCCTGCTTCTCAGGGATTCGACCAAGATGGAACAGAACTTGATCGACTGATCGAGCATCATGAGCCTTTCCTTCGATACATTTGTGGACCAGTATCGCCAAGATGAGATGGGCCAAGTTCTCAACAATCGCGCAGAGAGTTCCATCGCCGTAGACTATGCGATATTGCCCATCTATTGGGAATTCGATGGACCACAATGGTTGGTTCCGAACTGTGTGTGTTTAATCAAGGAGTAGTCGTCGAGGCCTGTGTTCATGGAGTGAATGGACTGTGGGGTGGGAAGTAGCAAAGCGATGCGAGGCGGCGTGGAAGATGTAGGCCGTCGGTCGACGCAATTGCGCATCCAAGGTGAGCACAGCGCTCGTTTGGCGTGACGACATCGTTCATAACCTGCAAACCAGAAGGGCCTGAGGATTTGTCTTGACCGTGGGCCAGGTGTGTGGCACGCCAGATTGCAAGACAGTTGGTGTGGAAGGTGCGTGAAGTGGCAGTGACGTGGCTAACCCCTTCCACAAAGTCGAAATTCAGGCCTTGGGCCCCGGCTTGGCCTTCCGCCTCGCAGAAGTGGCTACACGTGACAGGACCTCGCAATTTTCGACGAGGTCCTGTCACGTGTTTGTCACAATGGCAGGACGATGGAACAGGATCCCGCAGATCCTTCCGCATGATCCTGCCGCACAACGTGCAGGGGATGACTTCATTATCTATCATAACGCGGTGGACTAGGACTTTTTAGTCCCACGAGCAAGCCGCTTCCATGTCGCCCAGCTGTTGTGGGTGTTCGTGGATGTCAAATCTTGCTTTCGCCGGGTACGTAAAAGGCTGTTGACCACGCAGTCGGCATCTGATTTTGCGTGAAGTGGCTTCATCAATCGGAGTGGGCATGCGCAGTGCCGTCGGTCGGGTGTCGTCAGCGGATCGGGGCGTGTGTGGCGAAAGATCAAGTGGAAAGAAACGAAAGAAACAAGGCGAACAGCCAAACAAAAGGAGCCAGAAGGTCTTGAAGCAATTCTTTTGACGCGCGCGCCTCGTCACGAATTTAAAATGCCACCACGCCGGTCATTATCTTGAATCTGTCGCCGGAGATGGTCGTGCAACCCATCGACGACGATGTGCAAATCGTCAGCTTCCTTTTGGAGAACTTTTCGTCGGTCGGCGGAGGGGACGAATGCTAGCCAAGATGGAATCAATCGCATGCAGCGTCGAAATTCTGTGTCGGCTTCCCGACACAGATGCGCGAGACCTCGGCTGCAGCATCGACGGCGGTGGCTGACACTCTCGCGCAGCCATACGAGCGGCTGGTGGTTGGTTCTTGTAAATTTGGACGCCAGGTGAGGGTGCCGCTGTGCCAGAAGTAGTTGGGGTCGAGCACAGCTGAATGTGACATATACCGTGATATGCACAATTGAGTCGATGATGATGGCTGCCGGGCGGATTGTCGTCGAATCAAATGAAGACGTCATGCAGCTCTCATGACTCCGCTTGTTTCTGTGCCCTTTCCGTGTCTCTGGAATAGCACGGGTGATGCTTGCCTTCTGCTTTATTCGCCTGTGGGTGGGAAGGAGCGTGGGCAATATCGAAGCAACCACCATTCCGCTGGGAAAGCACCTACCTGGAATGATGGGGCAACAGTGTCAGGTCAGGCAGGGTTGACCATCTTCCTGCCAATGAGAAAGTAAGACAGCAATGGCCCAATACATGTCCCTTGCCCGATGGCTTTCCTCTTGGTAGACTTGGACTTTCCTCTCCAGTGTCCCCAGTCGCACCTGGAAATGGAGGCATGGACGTTAGCCAAGGCCTACGCTCCACCTTCGCCAGAATTTAGATCTCGGCCGATCTCATCACGATATTAAGGATTTTCTCAGCTTGGTTTGTTGCTACTTTACACACGCCGACGCAGAGCCCTTATCCATATCATCTACTAAATCCACAGCCGTCCCAAAGGCCGTCATGAAAGACTTAGAAACGTTCCTGGTGGAAGTGCTCTTATTCCTTTGAAAGTCGTCAAAGGGAATATCGTGCAGTATGCATCCCTTTGATTCTGTTTGCCGTCGATTCTTTTCCCCCAAGTTGCCTACTAGCTGAACCTCTTTGTCGACCTGGATGGCTTAGGTGACCATGCTTTAGACCAATATACACACAGCTTATGAGATCAAGATGCTCCCTGATGGGTGGACGCACAACGGTGTTGTCCGTTTGCAATTCTCTTCTTCTTACAACACCAACATCCAGCACACTTTCGGTTGGATAAATAATGCACATCAAAAAATTGGAGTTGAGCCCATCATTGCCTCGTCTGGCGAGTTGGCCGCCTCGGCAGCATCTAATGTCTTTCCCCAAGGATCATGCCACCGTAACTTTGGCAGATCTCCGTCCCACGGGAATTATCTCACGCTGAGCACAGCTCCGTTGTCACCGACTCGACCGCAGGTGCATGAGTCTCCATGAAACTGGCACTGGGTTACATTAGAAACTTGCCGCGCCGTGCAACATTTATTGTGTTTCGTGACGATCCGGACATCACTAGGCGGTCACTATCCTTGATATCCGCTGGAAGGACATGCTATGCGGTCGAGTGGATAACAGTGTTTATTGCCACTGAGTATTGTAAAGTTGTAGCCATTATGCACACATCTCAGAATGGGCCTGGCTGTGTTAATGGTAGTCTCAACATTCGCACCGACTGGACAAATCTCCTGCGCGCAATGCCGAAACAACCTATAGGATTCATGTAGCTGCGCAGACCCTAGCCATGAAGCCGGCAGTCCACATCTCGTATCAATTATTCGCGGCAGGTTCCTTCAAGTGATGATTTATCTCAAAGGAAAGTATCTCTTGAAGCCTACAGACATGCCTGATGAGCTTTTTCTCTGGTGCCTAGCAACATCTATGCTGATGTCACGATTCGATGTGAAATTCGCTGAGAACAAATTGATATATGAGACGTTTCCTGACGACACCTCCTCCCTATTTGAGTCAGGCTGTGCTTCAGTGGAACCAGCCCAGATGAAAAGAATGCATTCGGTAACTCAAGGGAACCTCTGCGTGAAGAAAGCAGGTTCCCTCGGAGCCTTTCTCTGGCTTTCACGCAAGCAGAAATAAGCGCGACGAAAGGTATACAGGTCGCCCCCAATTACGTACGGCACTCTCGCAGTGGTAAGTAGGACCATCATCCAATAGCTGCTGTTTCTCACACTTCCGAGCTGGACGTTATACCAGGGAGTAAATGCTACAACGTGGGCCAAAGGGATGTTGTCGATGATGTGGGTGACTCGTTCAAAATCTGCTGGTAGTTCCATTGAAAAGCATCTCCCCCTGAAAGATCCTGCTGTTGTATCATTCATCTGGGCAATGTGTTTGATTGATCAATGGACCTTCGAAAGAAGCGAACGACTCACTCCAAACGACTTGGATTGATTGAGAGTGATTGTGCGAAGGGTCAGGATGATGACTGACGAGAGATTCAGGCGCTGCCGAGTTCGATTTTCAGGTTTCTTTATGGATGAAGGTCGAACTGAAATCGTTTGGCGACTTTAGCCTCAAAACACCTAGGAACGCCGACCACAGTCTTCTGAGGGACCGAGGAACTTAAAGGATGTTGAATTTCTTCATTATATTATCCATCTTATGCCTCATCATCCGGAGTAATTTGACTTTTGCCCATATATAGTACCCTCCGCCTCCATCGAACGCTTTGTAATTTCGACGTGATGGGTGATCAATCTTGGTGAGGTGGGTTTTGATGTCCGGGCAGAGACCCCACTCTTACCGCAACTCGGTCCCGGGGCCGAGGCCAGCATGCCGGCCCAAATCCCGTCTTTCCGCAAAGGATCCACACCACTTGGACCGGCCCTCACAGCCGAATCCATCAGGCCGCTCCACGCACAATCAGCCGCGAGACTACACAGTACTACATGTATGACGTCCAATGCGCAAACTTTTCGATTACTTGTACTTCGTCGATTTCTACGTCGCTAATTAATCAAAGTGTCGATCCTTGATCGCAGCATTGTCAAATTGCGCGAAATACATCCCGTGCGGACTGCTCTGATTGATGGGACTGCGCATTTGGCTTCAATTCAGGATCCGCCCGGAGAGCATAACTCAATGTAATGAAAGGATGCGACTGCATCGGAGGCGTCGGAGTGCCAAGATTGATGGCATCGCGCTGATGATGACTGGCCGTCGTATTTGTGTCGGCAGGGCGTGGGAAGGTGTCAGGGTGGAAATGATTGGAATTGGGTCCGGTTCCATTGAAGAACCGTCGGCGATGTTTTTGCCTAAGGGAACGAGGCAAAATTCAAGCAACACAGGACAGCTGATTTCTCGATGTTCAAGTGCCACTTCAGCGAGTCCAGCTCATCGGTGATGACATGATGCGTGCCTGAGCGGATACCCCACCATTTTGTTCAATCGCACAGCCAATTGCAACGTCACTTTGCCCAGGCCTCGTCATGACGCAAGTTGCGCAAGTCGTGTCAGTCGTCAACTGCGCGCGAAATTTTCAAACATTGAGGTCGTCAACGGCGCCAACAAAATGCTCGCGCAAGTCGTTAATTGCAGGCAAAATCGTCAATTTATGGTGCAGCTTGCGCCCAGGCTGACTGGCCAATAGAACCGCGCAAATCATCGAAGGTTGGGTACCAGCCCAGGTTCTTTGTGGTGCCGGCCGCCAGGCGTGCATCCATTTTTCAAGCTCTACCTTGATGCATAACATTGCTTCATTGACAAACTTGTTGAAATGATTTCACGATCCGGCATGGAAAGTAAGTACACAAAAGACATCGGTCACTGGGTCGGTAGGTTGGTCGGTCGGCTCGGACATTCTCAATTGGGCAGCGGTTGTGTTGTGGCTGGAGTCTACTCCGTACCTTAAGGTAGTGAGTGCGTCGGGGAATTCTTACGTGAGTGCCCAAGGCACACCAGGCACACGGTTCACCCATGTGAAATAGAGTATGTGGTACAACGGCCCACTCCTGAGGTCTTCTACCTCCGGTGAAAGCAGTGCGGAAAGTGGAGCGCTCAGAACCTGCGGCGGAGGGAATTGTTGAGCCACACCTCAGCCACAGCCAGGTGACAGGGAGTTTTCCGACCCTTCTGAGCACCACCGAAAACTGTATTTTGGCGTGTGCCACCCACGCATCTAACTTCATCAACGGCCACCGGGTGTCTCGACTGCACCACGACGTTTCCCGCTGTTGATGTTTCTCCACCGTGCCTCGTACTCTGACGAAGTAGTAACTCTTTCTCAAACTTTTTGACTGAGCATCAGCTGAGGCATGACCCAGGTTTTTTTTTTGGGGGTTCTGTGGCTGCCTTTGCGTCACCCGCTCTCCACGAGGCAGGACCAGTGCGGCATCCTTTCACTTTTACCCGACCGCTCCTGCCAGACTTGTTGCTCCTACTCTATGCACTTTCTTGCCCTCAATTCCTGCTTTCCGTGCCCAGTCCTCAGTCCTGGACCATTCCGTCACGTGCGAACCTCGACGCATCGCGACGTTTTTCTTCCCTTTTTTTTTTCTTTTTTTTCCATGGAGGTCGGCGGCAAAACCGCACCTCGTGTGCCACCACACAGCTTCAATGCCGAAAGGGCCGTGATGCCTCCACGCACCACCCATTGCGGGAAAATCTCCCCCGAATATCGATACCCGACCGTGCCTGGCAAGTAGCCACTCGGCGGCATTCCACTCTCTTTTGCAAATCACCTGCATAGAGACAAAAGGCTAATGACGGGCTGAGCTCACTATCGACCAAATCGAACGCTCCTCTCAGATTCCCGCGTACGTGAGCCCAGAAGAAGCAAAGAGATTCGGAGACGTAGACGACTTCGTCCACATGGCCCGCCTGGAACCTTCGGAAACATCCATCCGAGAGGCTTTCCTGCAAGACCTGGTCATCCGCCGACAACGTCAACAAGAGATTGCCTGTTGGGGACGGCTGTTTGGCGTCAATCACCACGAATACGATACCAAAGGCGACGCTGGGCCAGATCACCATGGAAAGCCAACTGGGTGACTATCTGAATGCCTGACCTTTCGCGACTATGTTATCGAGCTGGTCAGCCGAGTTTGAGCCAACTGCCGAAGGATACCAATCTCGCGCCCCAAAGGAAGGAGCCCTCTGAGTGCCCTACGAAAGCCTCGAAGCGCATCCATCTCGTCCATCATCCAAACCTACTATAGATTCTATCTATCAAGTCTTGGGAACACCAAGACCAGTTGACCCCTTCTCCCGGGTCATGGCCAGAGTCTCTCCGCCTCCACATGGTGACAGGTCAGTCTGACTTTTCACCTTGAGGACTTCATCGCTAACTCTCGCCAAGCAGAAGCGCCCGCTCCATGCTTGACCATCGAGAATTTCCAGAACGAAAAGGTATATTCCTTATATTAGTACTAACTTCATTGCTTAACCGCAAATGCCACACTAGACTTATATACAACAACAAAAGAACACAAGATCACAATCCACTCGAACCCTGCACGTACGCCCGATCGTACTTTTACGGCATAGGGTGGGTGTCGTAGTAGGGATCGTACATCAGCAGGGCAAAGCCCGTGTCTGGGACAGCAATGCCACTGGGCCAGCACTTGTTGTCATTAAGACCATCGTTCGCCGGAGGATTGCCCGAGTGGCCGTGAGACGAGATGGTGAACTCGGGGTGCGTGTTGACGCCGACACCGACATACGTACGCAGCAGCCCTGTCTTGGGGCGGTTGACCGACTTGACGCTGTTCGGGGCCTGGCTCACGGCAGTGTCAAAGTCGGCACCGGATAACTCCTTGAGAGTGCTGGCGAAATAGGCGCCCTTCCACATCTGGCCGGCCTTGCGATCGTCCTTGTCCGGGATGTATCGCACCAGCTGGCCGGTCCGGTCGATTCCTGAGTTGATAACAGCCGGGCTGCTGGCGGCTAACAGATCGGCGGGCGGATACTCGTCGCGGTCGCAGGCCTTCCACTGGCCGTTTAAGTTGCGCGTCCAGCCGAATCCGCGGTGCTGGCTGCTCCAAGTCGCCGTCGCCTGGGCACCCTGTCGATGAGCGGTGGTGGCAGCAGCTTGGGGACATGTGATGGTCGCCCACGCCTGGTTGTTGCGGATGACGCTACTGTAATGGTAGCAGGTCTGCGACCATTGAGCATAACAAGTGGCTTGGACCTGTGTCGCGCGAGCACCATACGTCAGCGACGTGATGATGAGCTCTTCCTTCTGCGTCTTGCTGGCAATCCACGACTGCCGACGCATCGTGTTCTTGGCCGCCTCCAGCCGCAGCGTCGACTGAGACTTGGGTACGTTGCACTTCTTGCGGATGCCGCCGCTGCCCGGCTGCGTTTTGCCCATCACGTTGGGACCACTGCCGGTGCCTACCTTGTGCTTGGATCGGTCTGTGGGTTTTGCGTCGTCGCCCTTTTGGCCGCTGCCCTTGGACGCCTCGGGCTTCACGAAGCTCGACACGCCGTCGGCAACACTACTCAGAATTCCAAAGATCTCCTTGATCTCCTCCGGCACCAGGTCCGTCCCGCCGCACGGGCTGAGCCACCAAGAGAAGCGCCTCCGGGATCTTCCTCTTCGGGATATGAATACGCCGCCATCTGCGCTGCCGTCGTCGCAATGTCGAGCCCGGCGTCGAGGATCTTGCCCACGCCGAGGATCAAACTAGCGCCCACATCCAGCACCAGCCTCAGTGACGACATGAGCACATAACACCCAATCTGCGCGATGATGGGCAGCGCCTCGAGCACCGTGTCCGCGATCTCGTTGATGAGCATGTTGTCGCACGAGCAGGTGCCCGGCGCCACGTAGTATGACGTGCCTGGGTACTTGTCCCACGTGATGCCGTCCAGATACTCCTTGGTCGAGAAGAAGCCAACACGATCATAATTAGATGTCCGGCCTTTCTCTTTGGCTTCGTCTAGCGTCGGCTTGCAGTATGGGTCGCACTGGAACTGCGCCTCGTCCCTCAGTCGGGCATTCTGGTAGATGAGGCACCTGTTGGCGTTGGCCAGTCTCGCCTCGGTGTAGTTGAAATAGTTGGGGTTCTCGGGGCTCCAGCCGGCTTCGATGATGCCGTCGTCCTCGTCCTTGTCGACCACGGCCGTCGCGCACACCTCATACGGGCAGTAGCCGTGCGAGCATGCGAAGCGACACAGCCGGTTTAAGTCGATGTCGACCTCGTTCCACGCGATAATGTCCCCCTCGACTGGGTTCTCCGGCGGAATCGTGAGCATCTCGCCCCTCGTGACGCATTCACACAGCGATTCCGGACAGAAACCGAGGCAAAAGGTAAACTTGCACAGGTCGCCCGAGTTCGCCGTCTTGTCCTCGCCCGACACGCAGCCCTCGTCGCCCGTGTCGCCGCCGCGATTGATCGGCACCTTCATGTCATCATCACCAAACGTCTGCAGGTCGACGGCCGAATCGATGCTCCCGCCAAAGTTGAGCGTCTTCCACTCGTCTCGTCGTGTCAGCTTCGTCACCTGCGTCATGTAACTCACATAGTCGCCCTTGTACAGAAGCACGTCCGTGTTGGAGTCGCCGTCGTGGAACAGCAGCGAATATGACCCCTGGGTGATAAGCTCGTTGATCTCGGCATTGGAGATGTACCCCTTGGTCGCGGTACATCTCCCGGGGTTCGCGTCCGACTCGGTGCGCGTCCCCATGAACACGCATAGAGGGCTCCAGCAGCCGTCGACGGCCATATGAAACGAGCGGCCGTAGTCGGACTCACCGACCATGACCTTGTTGTTCGCGACGTCCGCCTTGGTCATGATGGACAGCGTGTTGCGCGTCTCGGTCAGGTTGACATGGCTACGGATGCACTTCCCCGACGGACACGAGTTGAAGGCGTTGACATTACCATAATCCCACTGGCCGTGCAGATCGTACGTCATGTACACGTTGTAGTCGATCACGGCCGAGATGCGGTCAATGGGAAAGGCCTTAAGATACCAGTGGGACGCAGGCGCTGCGATAGAGACCGACTTGTCGGTGCCAAGCTTCTGCTTCAGCGACGTTAGGAAGCGCAGGTACGCCACGCCGTCCCCGGTCTGCCCGATCGCCTTCCCGTCGACCATGATGTCGGGGGCGCCCGGGTACTGCCAGTCAATGTCAATACCATCAATGCCCTCATCCTTGCCGAACTGGGCAAGATTGGTCGCAAAAGTCTCCGCCGGATGATGTTGTACGTGGCTGGCTCGGTCGAGTAGGCCCAGCCGCGGAACGACAGGATGCGCTTGAGCTCCAGCTTCTTGAACGCGTCCCACTGGCTGTGCGGGTTAGTGATGACGGGCTTCCAAGTGTTTGGGTCAATCTCAGCGAAACCCCAGTGCGTGTAAGTTCCGTCGGTGTTGGCCTTGTCGGCCCGCAACCAGAGACAGTGGCGGCCCATGTTCCACGACTCATAGTAACCGACAAGCGAGAAGGCAGCCGGTGGACCTGAGTTCTGCTTGATCTCGTTGCCGCAGTTGGAGATACACGTGCTCTGCAAGCCGGGCAGCTTGGTCCCGGGGCTTCCGCCTTCCGGCGCGTGGATGTCACAGTGCTCCGGGAACGGTCCGCAGAAGCCCCAGTTGCTGCAGCATGCCTTGAGCGGGCATGGGTTCAGGTCCACCATTGATGTGCCGTCCGTTGGCTGCGTCGTTCCCGGCACCAGTGGCCCGCACTGCGCTCCCTCTTGTGGCGGCAGCAGCGGCGGGTTTCCGGGGCTAAGACACATATTGCAGTCAATCAGCACGTCCTTGCACTGGGTTCACGCCCACGTCTTGCCCTTGTTGAAGCCTTCGATCTCCTCCTCCGTCAGATCGTATTGAAGGCCCAGGAAGCTGCACGTGTCGCCCGAGGCCATAAGATGCGTCACACACGTCCCTCCGTCGCCTGGCGCGGGCTTTCAGCCTCCCAGGTCGCCTGCGGAGCAGCAGACATACTGGTTTGGCTGCAGGGCATTTGGGTTGTGCGTCGTAAACTGGGAGCCCCCGATGCCGCACCGGAACGCCAGCGATGTGCATGTGTCGCCGCCCAGTACCTGGATGTAGGAGCCAAAGTCGCTTCCTTGTAACTTATTCTGGCGCGGCAGGATTGCCATGCATTTCCTAGCCAGTATGGTGTTGCTGAACAATATTGCGTTGTTGCTCAGAGTGCCGTTCTTGTTGTGGAGTTCGACAATGTCCAAAACGGCCTCATCCTTCAGCTCGCCCGACGGCACAAGGCTGTCACCGGCGGCGCACATCCCGGCTTGCCAGTCTGCAGCTGTTTGTTTGACGGCGGCGAGGTCGCCCTTGTTCTCTACAACACCACCGAACACGCCTGATGATGGCTTGTCGGCCTTGCAGAGCTGCATCACCAAGCGGTTGGGCACGCGGCCGTCAATCTGGAGGCGTGCGCCCAGAGAATCTACGGTCGCACCAACAGTGAGTGACCTTGCGCAGACCAGCCCTAATAAAGACTCCAGCAACGGTCTGCTTATGGTAGCCGAATAACAACATCTCGTTGCAGCTGTCGGTTGCGCTAAAATACGCACTCATAGCCTCGAGCAGACGCGTTGCGTCGCCTACGTTGTCGGCCCCGTCGCCATCGGCACTGCTGTTAGTTGAAACCGGGAGAGTCTTCATCACCTCCCCGCCCGGAAGTACGCCGCACGCCGGCGCCCGGTTCAGAGAAGGCTGGAACAACGTGTCGGACTTGTTCCAATTCTCCACGTCGGCGGCAATCTAGTTGGCCACCTTGGAAGCCTCAGTGATCGTACAAGTCAAGTTGGTGTTTGATGTGATGATGGGCTCCCCACCGCCGGCGCCTCCGAACGTGCAGACGCGGATGAGCATGTCTCCGCTCAGCCGTTGTGTGGCCGAGAGTTGCAGCGGCGTGGGCTGCTGGCATCGACGGAGCCGGTCGACAGAGAGGTAGGTGACCCAAGTGTGCACATTATCGAGGTGAGCACAAGGAAGTGGGCAGTCATGCCGGTCCGGGTCGTAGGTTTTGATGTCGGCAATAGGCGAGGCTCCGTCGTCTCCCACGGGTACGACGACCCTGGCGCCGTTAGGGTTGACGGCACATTGCACGACACTTGCCCCCAAGATGAGGGAAGCGGTGATGAACTTTGTCGTCGTTTACGTCGTCGACCACCCAGTGAGTGAGCAAGTAATGAGCGGCACCGACTGTGTAGTCACTATGTTATCAGAGAGGGCCACAGAGAGGGCATTGAAGATATGGACTCTAGCGATATGTTCAGGAGACCCAGCGACTCTAGAATGCTTTGTATCTCGTTGGCAGCTGACATGTATGGCTCCATCTTCTCCCCTGCTTGCACCTCTCTAAATGCCTCGGGTATTATCAAGATTTCTTTTCCGGGGCGTCCACATTCACAGGGCCTAGGATCTCCATACGCCTTTAGCTTATGGATTTGAGCGGGTGGTTAGCCTGAGCTGCGTACCGAGTCTTTCCCCCGACTCACTTCTCTATATCGAGACATTTTGGCACTTTCGTAGGATCAGCCCCTGAGTTGCTCCTTTGATATGTGATAGATCACGGTACTTTTCTGGTCTTCTTAAGTTGCAGTTTCATTTCACAATCACCTGCGACTCTGCGGCGCGAACATGTCATGTTGAAAAGCTTATATAATACAATGCACATGGCCAGGGCTGAATCGAACCAGACCGTTCTGCCTGCTTATGAAGCCGTCGATAAGACTGCTAAGTTGTCGTCTGGTGTTTGAGTTGGCTATCCCTGATCATCGACATTGAAGAATCTGCAACGCCCGACTCAGGCCGAATCCTTCCGAAGCCTCCTCTCTACCGAAGCAGCGAATTTTCTGCCTCGGCAACCTGGCGAGTATATCGCTCATGTACAGATACAAACCTCAATTCAGACATGGCCTCTGGAAGTAAGCTTAAAAAGCCTTTCCGTTCCAGCGTTGTGAAGGTTGGCGATGGGTTTGTAGCCGTGAGCGATCATGCAGATTCTATCTCCGTAATTTGGCACACTTCAAGGGTGAGCCGTCCGCCAATGACACCGTTCATACAGTCATCTCCTCATGAGCCTAGCGCAGGGTCGCACGGAAGAATCATGTCGACTAACACAGGGTCGCGCAGAAGGATCATGTTTTACAGACCAGACCGGGGGAAGGATAGGCGCAAGGTCACAATAAGAACCGCTTCTGGTCAAGCGGCTTACCTAAGAAGTGTGGCACAAAAGCCCCTTGCCGCTGTGCCTCATCAGGCCTGTTTTTCGCCTTCGCTCTTCATCTTTTTTACAATCACTGCTCTCTCAACTGTCCATCAGCAAATGTAGCTTTAATACAACCAACTCCTTCCCTTCACAACCCCACAAAGCCGAAGCGATATCGGACACGCCGCTAGGAATCCGAGACCTGGACCACAAGACCTATTGACGAGATGCCAGTCACGCTTGACCAAGTCGAGTACTCCGAGGCGGCCACGGTCGCCGCCGTGACCGATTTCTACGCCTTCTTGACCAAAATGTACCTTCCCGAGTCAGCCATCGTGCACCCGCCGCCAGGAGGATGGCCCACGTTGGCCTCTGATCTGCAGGAGCTGGGCAAGTCGGACGAGGTGCTGAGCCTGCTCGCACACCTTCCGTACGTCCGTCAAGGCAATGATGTCAACGAGGGCGAGATACCGGAAGTTACTCCCAGCGGCCGCTGGATCGACTGGCACGCGTCCGGTATCTGGGTGCGCGAGGGCGGCAGCGACATCGACGAGCTTCGCACCATCAGCGAAGGCCCCGCAATTACGGAGAACGTGCCCGGGCACGTCGTCGGGCTGACGATGAGCGAGCACCACGTCTTTCTGCTCGACACGGAACTCGGCGTCGTCTACTGGCCCGAATGCCCTGGCCGCCTCCGCGACGGGCCCCGCTGCATCGAGGACGACCCGTACGACTACTGCGACGATGACGAGGATGCTGAGTGGCGGGCCGACGGCGCTGCCTGGTCTGTCGCCGACTTCTTCAAGATGCTCAAGGCTCAGTACCGCACCCTGCGCTGGGTGCCTTGGAACGAGTATGAGGTCTTGGATTCAGAGATCACGTCGAGGAATCCCATCCCGGCGCTCCAGGATGTCTTCCGCCGCCACGGCTGGCCGAATTCGCCACACTATCGCAAGGAGGAGTGCCTCGAGGAGACAAAGGCCGTCATGGATGCAACAGAGCAGGGAGGGGATGAGGAGGGGAGAGATGAAGAGGGCGCTTAGAGTTGATGTGAATTAGTGTGTTCGGTTGCCTGCTTGGCGTGCTCAGCAGTTTTGGTATTCTTACAGAGGCGAGAAGCTTGTTTCTTCACATAGCATTTTGACAGAGGCTCTTATCAACAGATCTGTCCCATCGCGTGCGGCACAGCACGAGGCAAACAAAATGTATGCGGGGGAATAGTGAATCAGACGCTACTCTGAAAGATGGCCGCATCTTTCCGCGAATGAAGGATCCCCAAAACAGAGTCCACTTAGAGAAAATTGGACAACTTTAGCATTAACTGACGCCATGTAACACTCGACGGAACATAATCTTGCGGGGAATTAACAAACGCCTGTTAAGAACAAGACTGGCTACAGGGAGATTAAGCTTACATCCATGATCATGCTCGCCGTGAATTGTTTCTGGTGGCTCTCATCCTGCTTGGCGAACTGCAGTTGAGAATTCCGCCGCCTAATCGGCATATGCAGCACGAGGCAAACCCAACTTGCTGTGCTCCGCTTGTTCAATCACCTTTGCTCTCATACACGCAGGTTATCTGCTGATGATTATGGCCGCAGTTGATATAGGCGCGAGGCTGCCAACGCGGCACTAACATGTTGTGACTCTGCGTCACTTGCGTCTTCGTTGAGCTCCTCTCACCTCGTCTTGATTTTTCTCTCCTGTCTTGACTCTTCGCTCTTTGCTGCCACAAACTTCCTCCTCTGTCACTTTTCAATACTATTACCAGCGCTGTTCAGCAATCATCGTATCATACCAGACTCCAAGTCTGGACGCAATGATGAAGCTGGCCGTCCTCGCCATCCAAGGTGCCTCCGTGGCAGCCGTCCCGGACTCTACCATCGCCCTTTATGCCCGGCAGGCGACAACCGCGCCGCCCTCATCCGCCTCTATGACTTCGCCGCCTTTGCCAACGCTGGAGCCTTCATCGACGCTCCGCGACCCATGGCAATGCGCAACGCAGAACCTGTCTTGATACTTCGACGTGCCCAAGCCCTCGGGCACGCTGGGCGGGGCCATCAACATGTACGTCGACGAGCTCATGGAGCCCTGCCTCGAGACGGTCACGGGGGCTGACCTATTCAACTGCCGCGTGACTGAATTGTCGCAGCTGTGCGGCTTCACCGCCTTCCGGTTGGGAACTTCCGCGCTCACAATGGCCTTTGCATCGTACGAGAGCGCCGCCGCCTCCTTCTGGCGCAGCAACAGCGAGAGCGTGAGCTGCTTGTTGGTCGAGTGCGCATCGGTTAGGCGAGCTCAAACACGCTTGGCTGAACCAGACCATCGCCTACGCCAGCTGCGTGCTGGACGACTTACCCCACGTCAGCACCACCACCGGTTCTTCCGGATCGTCTACCGACCCCGGCACGGCGGTCACTGGGACGACGAGCAGCACAACGAACACAGCTGGGTTGGTGAAAAGAACGGACATGTGGATGCTTGCTGGCATTGGCGTTATCGCTGAGGCTGCCAATGTCTTTGCCTAAGTTTGGACGTTTCAATTTTCATTAGATGCGGTTGGGGTCACGACTAGTTGACAACTTTTCCTCCTTCAAATGTCTCTGCGGACGTTTCGCATGCACTATGAAAGGTTAGGGGGACAAAAACCTATTCATGTAATCAATTTGTCGGGGATATATCAAACGTGAACATGTACATTAAACATATGCACTGAACATGAACATGCACAGCTGAATAGTGTCCCCAAGTACCATAGTCTATCCATCTTGCCAACTTATGGTCCGCGAGCGTGATGTTATTCCCGTGATAATTGTGAGGAGCCCAGTTGACCTTGAAAGCGAAAGCGATCAAAATAGAAACTCTCACATTTTCGCAGCTCACTGCAGTCGCCAGAAAACCACCAAAGTCTCACAACTCCAAAGTCCTGCTTCCGGCTCTCATTTCCGGTTTGGTCTTGTCCACCGTAGGAGGGCCGAAACCTTCATTTACTTCTTCTGAAGGAATATCCGGGTGGCTTGCCGAGCGGCTTGTGCCGCATGGTACATGCTGACTAGCTTCGAAAGCACCTGGACTTATCCATGCGCTGCTCAGCCTCCTAAACATTGGGATCCATTTCTGCATTTTTTGAATGATTCTGAAGTCAACGAAAAGACTCCAGGCCTAGATCTTTAAAACAATGACACCTTCGAAATCAGCCGCTCCGGGGATGTCAGTGACGAAGGAATGCTCCCCCAGTTAACAATAAACCTTCGAATAAAGACGATGCTACGTCGGGTAGCAATATCAAATTTGCTCAAACTTCACAGCTAGTAGTTGGGGTCGTGTGATCGAAGCATGAGCGATATAGTTGAATTCGACAGTGCGGACCTCGTGATGCCCCGTGACGCCGGTTGAGGAAATGAGAAACGCTTGTGGCGATAGTGTCCTCCAACTCGGGTCATCAGCAAGACTGACCGATCAGCAGTTCTGGGCAGCCGTCTGCCTAATTGTCCAGACCGGTGTTCTTCCACTCTAGCCGGGCGAAAGGGATTGTGCCAAAACGACGCAATGCCTTGGTAGGCAAAAACAAAAGGGTTACGCATATATAGATCGTCGGGCAGATGACCATATGGTCGATCGGCTCTCAAGATTCAATCATTACCAACACGCAAGATAATGGCATCAGTGTCACCACCATCAACTGACAAAACCAAGAACACCATACTGTCTTACGTGCTGCCATCACTCCTGCTCGCAGGCGGCTTCGTCGACGTGGCTCTGGCCGGCGTGGCTCATGTTCGCTGCGATGGCTCGTCCTCTTCGTTGACATATGATCCCAACACCACCTCGTACTGCACCTGGTGGGTTGACCTGACCACGGCCAAGAGCTGCAGCATTCTATTGAGTTAGAATGCTTTCGACTTGGTTTCTTTCTCAAGATTGGTGAGACCCTCAAGTTTCCCTCGTGAAATGCTCAAAGTAAACTAACAATACTCGCCAGAACCCGTCCATCACAGACACATGCGTCCTGCAGACAGGCCACTCGTACTGCGTTGAGGCCTTCTTTGAGTCGCCCGTCAGCACTGCCGGTCATCCACGACATCTGCCATCAAGACCACGTCGACCACGACAACCCCGCCGACGACGACGTCGACCGAAAACGGCGTATCCACGCCTCAAGTGGCGCAGGCGCAGATCGTCAATAACTGTAATAAGTTCTACTTTGTGCAGTCGGGCGAGTCGTGCTCCAGCGTGGTCAGCTCCGATAGCATTAAGCTCGCTCAGTTCCTGGAATGGAACCCGTCCGCCGGCAGCACCTGCGCGGGACTCTGGGTCAACGCGTACGCTTGCGTCGGGATCATCAGCGTTGCCACGTTCACCTAGAGCCCGCCCACCGTCACCACTTCAACAGGCAACGGTATCGCCACCCCCAGGCCCACGCAGCCTTGCTACCTACCCATTTTGCGCTTGCGTCGTCGCTTCAGGCGCTAAAAACCTCGCAACATGCTCCTTCGTAGCTATCTCACACGCATTTCCGTGGCGTTAGAGTCGTCTTCCGAATCTAACAATGGGCTCATCAGCAGCGCGCTGAAAACAGTCTGCCGCGCGGTTGGTGCGCATCATACGGTCAAATGCGATGACCGACAGAGCAGCGCGGGTCCAGACATTCTACAGCCCATGAATACCAACTGCATAACGGCGTCACAAGGGAGGGTAATGATATAATGGGCTCACGTTTCCATTGTAAAGGCCTACGTACAGCAGTAGCAGCCCCTCTAAATATACCATGTAGCATTTCCTCGTACATGACGCGATTATGCTTTTGCGGCCAGTGAACTCGCATTCAGCCCCATGCGCCGCGCATCTGTAACGTACGCCCGCGTTGGCCGGACACCGTCCGCGGCGTCACAACCAGTACGCTTCGCGCTCAGAATCAAAACATTGCGATGGGATTGGTGGCGTTTGCAGGCCGCTGCTGTGCCACATCCCAGTGTTCCATGATACAAGTGCCGTCAAATCTGAAGACATCAATGACAGCGGAAGGTTCCGAAGCTCCAACAACGTCCATTCGGTAATGAATATAGGCGATATTATCGTCGAGGCCCGTATTTATGATTGTGTAGTTAACGTTACTGGGTGATAGAAACTGAGAGAGAGCGTCGAGAGAGTTCTGACGGCCAGAGAGGATATCAGGGTTATGTTGGATGTAGTCTTCCGCAACGTGGCCGAGCATAGCTTTCCTGGCATTCCTCTCTTTGTAGAAGGCTCGGATGAATTCATTGAGGATCGCCCTCTGCTCCTCTGGGGTTGCGGAGCGAGGCGGGCAGTAGGGGGTTGACGATTCCTGACAAGGGACAAGGCTTTCGGCGCTTGCGGTCAAGGCAGCGGCCAAGGCGAATAGTAAGGAGGCGCGCATGATGTCGGATTGAGACGGGGTAATGGGTGGGACTTTAATGGAGTATTGCGTCTAGATTTCGTTGATGTGTCACCAACTGGAACTGAGTACGGATGCAGCCCAACCTACTTATATCCTGGGACAGATACGACAGAGACCAGTTGCCGGACTTGATCCTATTCAGCCGGAGCTTACTAAGAACACTGCAATTGATAGGAGTTCATCTTAACTGCGCCACGTGCTGCAATACAAAGAAATTCCATTACCATGGACCATTGCAAAATGTGACGTCAATGTTGTAACTGGTCGGGAAAGAATAGATAGGGCTGCTTATTAAATTGCATATTTCTAATGCTGTGACCTGTGCCTGTATGGGTTCCTCATTGCTGCCACGTTGCTAGATTTTGTGAAAGCTTGTGTTCCCACTGTATGCTTCTGGAGTTTAACCTACAGGATTCAGTATCAGTCCGGACGACCGGAATTTGAACGCACATGGCTCCATGCCCAAGGTCTTCAGCCTGTCGGCAGGCTGCCGATCGACATCGCGCCTCGCCACGGAAAACACTCCCACCTTCACAGCCCACAGATTCGGTTGCTTACAAATTTTCTTAGTTGCAAAGCATACCAGACGGGGATCAAATTGGTTCCGGTCAGTGTTCCTAGCCTGGGGCAGTAGCATCCACCTGCCAAGGCCTCTGCAGGCTAGAGTTCGCTGGTGGAATAGCAAAGTGCTGCCTTACTGAAGCCTGTACGAGATCAAGGAAAGATTGAGCAAGTTGAAGTGTGTAAAGAACTGGTCCGCGCCAGGTGCCACGTGTGCACTAAACGTAAGCACGGCCCTTGTACGGATATGGCTCTGTAAACCTTGACTTGGTCCTAAACGCCCTGTGGGCCCTGCGGTGAAAACCCACTTGTGCCCGGGCCCGGGCCCTTCCCCTCGCCTACTGACCCCAGCGCGCAGTGCCGTGGAGGCCTGGATGGCCTCAACCAAGAGATACGTTTACCAATCTAATATTAGTCAGTACGATTTGGGTTAAGAATTGGCTTGCGATGTAGTAATCAAGCTACTTTTGAGTAGTAACGGTGCTAATTGCAACAGTGTGAGCGCTGCTAGTGATTGGTCCCGTGGGACGTCAAACATGGGGAACGACAGGACAAGCCCTGCCATAATTGGCCCGGGCTGTCTTCGCCCTGTTGCCGTAGTGCTTCTGGGTATTGAGTAAAAACGTTCTTCCTGCCATGTCACTTCACAAGTAGCACAACAGAAAAGGGGCAATATCTTGGCAATCTTGAAAAAAACGGAATTTTTGGCCCAGAGTATCCATAGACGCGATCGAAGTGTCATGTTTTTCAGCTGAGCCTTGTTACAAATGCAAAAAGAAGTCAGCTGAGAAATCACAGTGGCCTGCCTGGTGGTCTTTATACATAGTGCACAGGAAACCCTCGTCCGAAGTTGGCTTGTTTCGTCTGTAGTCGACATCGCAGTCACAACTATTACGCCCACACTCTCTTTGCAAGTCCGCCACGATGCCCGCTGTAACAATTCGCAAAAACCCTGTGGTTAAATACCATACCGCTAAGTTAAACGGCGTTACGTACAACTACCTTGTCGCAGAGCCGGCTTTGGGTCACGATGTTTTGGCACGATCTTCCTCCTCCACGGTTGGCCTGATTTGTCCTTGGGATGGCGTAACCAGATTCCGCTCCTTCTCTCAAAGGGCCTTCGGGTCGTGGCTCCTGATATGATGGGCTATGGCGGCACTGATGCCCCGGAAGAGATTGAGTTCTAGTGAGTTCGAGGCCTCGCTTGTTGAGACGTTGATGCTTACTCTTCTGATCCAGTACCTATAAGCGTGCTGCCGACGATGTTGCTGCCCTTGCAAAGCACCTCGGCCTCTCCCGCATTGTTCTTGGCGGACACGACTGGGGAGGTGCTGTTGCTTACCGTGCCGCTCTCTGGCACCCTGAGTTGATCTCAGCCTTCTTCGTTCTCAGTACAACCTTCACCCCGCCGAGCCTTACTTATGTCGACGAAGCCGCTACGCTGCCCTCGCTGCGCTACCAGCTGCAATTCCGTACCGACGTGGTCCAGGAATACATTGGTCTACCACAGAACGCCACGCGCGTGCGCCAGATCCTCAACACCGCTTATGGTGTCACTTTGCCTAGCGGGGTATCGGCCTTTAATATAACTGGTGATGGGCTTGAGTTCGATCTGCTCGACCAGGTCACCGAGGACTCGCCGTTCCTGACCCCTGAGGAGATGGCCTTCTACGTTGAGAACTACTCCGCCGACCCGTTCAACAGGACGCTCAACTGGTATCGTATTAGTGAGCCTAACTGGAAGGATGAGTTGGTGCTGTTCCCGACTACTAATACTACGTGGACGGCCAAGTTCCCGCAGCCGGCCCTGTTCGTCGGTGGCTTGCAGGATCCGGCCTTACCTCCCGCGCTGTCGGAGGGAATGGAGACGTACTTCGACAGCCTCACCCGCCACTCGGTAACCGGAGGCCACTTTGTGATGTGGGAATCGATCGACGCCGTGAACTCCCACATTGGCAACTGGCTCGGCACTTCGGTTCTTGGCAACCTGTCCGTGGGACTGAACTTGACGGCTGGCAGCGGTCTCCTCAACTAAGAGCTTTCCCGGAGAGACATGATGACTCGGCGACGCTGAGGGTTCATAGTAATATACTTGGTTCATCTACGATTGTGTTGATCTTCGGGACATCCAATTCCAAAACGCCATCGTGCGTACACAAGCCTAGTGAAGCTCAGTTGTGCAGTTCCTCATCCTTCTCTCCATTCCCAGCCCGCTCACTGGCTCCTTTCTCGCATCTCTGGTCCGGCTGTGCCATCCGCTGCGCAACGCGATATGCACAAGTGAGCAGCTGAAACGCAATGCTGCGTCTCAGGCTTTCGTATTCAGGCGATTTTTCCGTAGCCGTACGCAAACTGAGACCCTTCGACAGTATCATCCTTCGGAGTACACGCGTCCATGAGGTAACAAGCATCACGGGCGACGTCATTACTAAACCAGGGGGCCATGAACGTTGGCATATCTTCTTTCTTCTACCAGATGCTGCTCTACTTGGGCACAGCATCGAAAACTGTCCTAGACATGTGAATTGCTGAGAAGAGGCATCCGGAACGCGGTTCCTAGTGGTGCCCGTGATCGGCGTATTACTGATGGTGTAGAAGTTGCTCTCGGCGTAAAAGATCACGTAAGGTGTGACACTGAGGCTGGCGAGGTGGCGATGCATGAGACGGCGTCGTGGGCTTATTGATTGAATTGATAGAATGACTGAGGCGTCTGCTTTATTGTTATTGGAGATCACCGAGAAACCTGTAACGAAGCCCAGCTTCCGGCGTCGGTGCTGTATGAGACACTCTTGCGAACGCAGCTGTAATCCTAAGCCGCGGCAGCTGCCTTGGTCTCGTTGATGTTCAGGTGGTAAATTTCAATTAATCTGGTGTTTCTGGTGTTTCTTTTTGGCTCCATCTGTGACGTAGCTGTGATGAGGTGCGCAACTCGCTCGTCTGCAGAGCGCGCCAATGAAACACATTACGCCTAATATTTCAACAGCCAGCCTTTCCAGACAGAACATACTATATTCAACCTAATAAAGTCTGAAAATCTTCTGAAAGAATGCTTAGTTCAGCTTATAGACGAGCTTAGTAGCCGAGACATTTCCATCTCGGTACTCCTGGAATCCTTTCATCACGCCGTCAAGACCACCAGGAACAAGAGTAGGCTTAGAGGGCCTAATCTTCCCATCCTCAACCCAGCCAGGAAGCTTCTCAAAGAACTCAGTTCCAAGCCTGTGGTCCTCCTCATGTGCCTAATCACAGTTAATGACATTATCTAGATCGCGGAAGCAATAATAATGATAACCTACAGGCCAGTGAAACTTCCCATAGCGGTGTTCTTTCAGGAAAGCAGTGAAGACAAACACATCAGACACCTTTGTCTGCTTTGTGACTCCGTCGATGTTTGCCTTCCCCGGCCTCACAGTACACAAACCACTGCCATCCTCGTCGATAGCCCGCGAGGTTAGACCAGACGAAGTCTTGTTCCCGATGGTGTCGAATGCATACTTGATACCTGGTACCGCCTTCTTAATAAAGTCTATAACGTCATCATCGTGATAGTCAAATGCGTGCGTAACACCCAGACGCTTCACCAGATCAAAGTGACGGGCGCTGCAAGTTGTGACCACCTCGAAGCCATGCAGAGCCGCGATCTGGATCGCATACAGGCCGACGCTTGCTACAAAACCAGTCAGTGCAGGTCGTTATTGCCGAATTCCGAGATCACCTACAGCTTCCACCCCAGATCAAAACTGACGCCTTTTTACCGCTGACTCTGGGAATAGCCAGGCAATCTTTGGAGAAGAGGGCAAGCCAAGCCGTCATCGATGCCAGAGGCAGTGTAGCAGCTTCTTCGGGGGTAATGTTCTTGGGAAGGCGGAAACTAATATTGTTGTCCGCCAGAGTGTACTCGCTGTAACCTCCGAGGCCTTTGATCTCGCCTGTGGTGAAAACAATGTCAGCCCAACTCCGATCGTAGGATTGACACCAACCTACCGCCCCAGATGAAACCGGCTATCAAATCCCCTTTGTTGAGCTTTCGCGCCTGATCGCCAGTTTCCTCAACCGTGCCGACGAAGTCACAGCCAAGGACTGCGCCTTCGCCAAAGGCATTTCTGTCAAGCGCTTGAACTGTTGCTCTCGTCAATATTTCAAGCAAAGCGTGATAATTGAGGTGCAGGATATCTAACCGTCGGTCGGGTTCTGGGCGACGTATGAAACTTTCACCAAGGCCTGATTGGACGCCGGCTGAGGTACGGGAATCGCCTTCTTAACGATAGTCGGCAGTCCTGTACTCAGGACTTCAGTAACAAGAGCCTGACACTGTTTCGCGGCCATTGTAGATCGTGGTGAAAACGATTACTTTAGTGTGGATGCCGCCAAAAAGAAGATGGTTCGAAGAGAAGACCAGAGCAACAGTGAAATAGGTGATGGTCAATGGTTAATATTTACCTATCTCCCCAAGTTCGTCGTTTGTTTTCCCTCACCAGAAACACGTCACAGAGGCTAGATCGTCTGACGGCTTCGTGCCGTGGAGTTGATGTTTGATTACAAATCGGCGTTGGCCGGCGTCTTCGTTGCGGGCCGGACCGCAACACAAACGGGTCTCGACCCCGAAAACCCGAATCCCGATGCAAGCACAACCGTCATTTCACGAACATCAGAGTGTCTAATCATTACGCAGCACAGACGCCATATCCAACACAGGCGTCTTAGTCAGTGGCGTTGTGAAAAGCTTAGCGCTTGCGGCGATCTCCGTATGCGTCGTCACAAAAGCCCTGCATCGCCTGCCTGATTGAAGCGCTGCAACATGGATAAACAAACATCCTGCTGATCGGATGGCTTCGTTTCAGGGCTGAAGGCCTCACGCAGCTGGAATAGTTGAACTGTACGGAGACAGGCAGTTTAACCCGCCTCATCGAGAAGGATGATTACCAAGCGAAAACGGGTTGAGGAGTTTAAGCCTCCAGCAGTTGATTGATAATTGGCCCCACTGACTGTACGACTGACTATCTCAATTGCCCTAGCAGTCAGCAGCCCGCAGACAGGGACCCATACTCCTCAAGCCTCAATTGAAACGCGTATAATTCACATCTTTCCCCCCATTAGATTCAGAAGTTAGCCTGTACTCCAGATTCAAACTAGCGCATCAATCACTCTCAAAGAAATTTCAACATAGCAACTGCAATCCACATCATATCTAAGAAGGACCTCGCCCAGCATGAGGTCGTTCCAGTCAATATCTCCCTTCCAGCACTAGCACCTTCCTCTATCCAAGCCCAGTCGTCCCTCATCGCAATAACATCAAATAACCTCACCTACGCTAAGCTTAGAGACTTCGTGCACTAGTGGTCTACCTAGCCCATCCCTGCTGATACCCCAGCCCCATATAACAACAAGGACGAGTGGGGTATTGTCCCAGCGTGGGGCTTCGGCAGGGTGCTTAAGTCTAACGTCGACTCTCTCCCGGCCGGCAGCCTCCTGTACGGCTTCTGGCCCGCCTCGTCCCATATAGTTGACCTAAAGCTAGCGACCAACAAGACTCGCTTCCATGAGTTAAGCGAGCACCGGCAAGCACTCGGGAGCATGTACAACGAGTATAGCCTTATCGACGAGACAACGCGGTCCGACGACTCCAGGGCCCTCTTCGCCAACGCCTATTCCATCTGGAACGCTGGCTACGTGCTCAACCGCTACTGCTACCCGACGGAGTACAAGCCAGCCCATCCGTTCGGCGTACACGGCGGAGAATGGACGGATAGCGACGGGGACCTTAGCGCCGCTGTGCTTGTGAACCTCTCAGCGTCGAGCAGAACCGGGAGGAGCTCCACCTGGAACTTCACGCGGAACCGCAAGCCGGGCGTTAATGGCCCGCTTGCCCTTCTGTGCGCGACGTCGTCGCCCAAAGCTCTGGAGCCTGCGCCACAGGCCCCGTTCGAGGTTAGTTCCGTTAGCTACGATGGCCTGGCGGCTGGGGAGACCGTTGCGTGGATCGAAAAGTTCAAGCCGAAGCGTGTCGTGGTTCTTGATCACGGCGCACCGCTAGCTACTACCGAGCGGTTCGTTGAGGCACTTTCAGAGGCACTGCCTGAGACGCAAACTACGCTAGTCATGATCGGAGTTGAACCGAAGATGGGGACTGCCGATGAATTGGTCTCTCTCCTAGGGTCGAAGCGGCAGTCTCGCTCTACTGTTGAGCTCAACACGACATTCGTCATCGATATCGGAATCGCTACTGAGGGCGGACAGAAGTTCTTTGAGGAGAATGAGAAGGCTTTTAATAGGGCAGTTGAGGAGAAGTATCTTGGCGACATTGAGTTGGTCAAAGGCAGTGGAGTTTCTGGATCTGGTGGGGTTGAAGGAGCGTGGGAGAATCTCATTCAGGGGACATTGGTGCCTAACAAGGCCTGGGTGTACTAACTGGACGGCAAGTCACAGTAGCTTCCCAGGTGCATGTAGTAGAACCTCGTAAGGAACTGAGAAGCTCCATTGGGCTTCTTTAGTCTAGGGTTCATCGGTTCATTGTAAACAGAGTGATCGTTACAAAAGCTCGGAAGGCTTTCAATCCTAAGCCCATTTAGGATCTATATTAGAACTTATCATAAGTTGAATCTTCACTTTTGTGCTTCATACAGGAGGTCGGTTGAAGGTCCTGCGCTCCAATCGTATCCTTTCTCTATCATTAGCTACACAGCAGACCTCAGCCACACGCAAAGCCCTTTCGCGCTGCAGCGGGGTCATTCAGATTTTGCCGCACCTTCCCGGTCACTCGACTGAAAGGCTTTGGCCATTCCGCGTTATGCGGGCTGGGTGTCAACCCCATATACTAAGGCTGCAGTCCACTCCTAAGTTCATCTCTATTTTCAAGCTTTAGCGGTGATTTTCATCACTGATGCCAAAGGTCCATCTCGTGATGGCAGGAGTCTCTGATCCTTTTCGATCGTTTTGGGCACGCAGAATCTCATTCTTCATAGCCCATCGCCATATTATGGGGCAATCTCACCGCTCAAGAGGGACACGCTCAAATCGGCGCAACGCTCTTGGACCATATCGCTGTCCTGAGGCGATCTGCCGCCACTTCGGACAGCGAGCAGGCCATATGGTTGCCGTACGGATCAAGCGACAGGCCCAGCATGAGATGGACCCAGCATCTGTTGGATTCGTTGAAGCCAGCATCCATCTATCTGTTTTGCGAGTTGGTGAATTGTTCTACTTGTTGTAGTGGAAATCAAATGGTGAGAATTCACCCGGATGGATTCGTAGCAGGAAAACGCCTAGCATTTTGCCGTTCTTGTCATCTACTCCTGATCATCCAGATGAGCACAGTTGCTGGTAACAGACATATTGTCGGATCTTGTCGTAGATATGCCAGGCACGCATTTTCATTCTATGATTCTAAACCTGACACATTTGATTGTACAGAAGACGATTCTATCATGTCGAGCGTTGATGAAAAGAATCTCTGTGGCCTCTTGAATGAATGCTGTAATTTAGGAAAACCGCTACTGCTCAAGCTTTATCAGATCAATGGCAGAGTCCCCAGGATACTGGGCGAAAGGCAACTCGGAGTGTGCAAAAAGGCCATCCCCACCCGAAGCCTCGCGGATCTAATTGACGAGGAACACTTTACTAGCTGCAATATTTAGGGGAGCTTTCCTCACGGATGGAAAGCCACAACTTACCAGAAACTCTCACTACTTTGATGCATCTTTCAGCCACCAATTGGCTTCTCAATCATTGGAGTGTCGACAGCATCTTCTTTGCATGTGATTCTGGGGAAGGTGGAATGACCAAATGGGTTACAGAACGACCGTATCTGTCAACATGTTTTCATAACACCATACCAGAACGCCATGTGTACTCTCTAAAGAGTGAACTTTCTGTTCCAGCTGGGTTCATCTTGAAAAATGTGGTCTACGTGTGTTCTGTCACCTCTAAAACCAATCATTGACACTGCCAGAACTGATCAGAGATAAAAATCACTGACATGTCGCAAATGAGAATCCCCTGTGCGTCCATCAATATGCTTCAAGCAAAGCTTTACCTCCGGATCGACCGTCGCATTATCGCTTGCAACCGAGCAAGCCACCCTCTCCGTTAATCGATCCTCTTCTCTAGCTTCTCAGCGTCAGCATACTTGGCGGTGTTTTGCTACATTACTTGAACCACTCTGCCCTGCTCACTCTGCCCTGCATTTACAACATGATCGGCGTCAAGCATCTTGATATCACCGCGAGAAGGATGATAATGCTGATGCCTCAATGAACGAACCCTCCATCCGTCTCCATCAACAAAGAATTCAAGCTGCAGATTTACAGTGGCGAAATGTGTCCTTAGAAGCAGTTCAACATGAGGAATTTCAAGTGCGCGCCACGTAAGAATGCGCTTGTCGACGATCTTGCCGGCCCCTCGAAATTCTGCTAACATCAACAGCCAGGGCTTCTTCGATTATCGTTTTTGTTTGCGAAGCAATATTTCGCATAACGGCTTCACCACTAGGATAGCAGTTTTATGCATCGTCCTGGTGTTATCAGACTTACGCAGAGGGGCTGGCATGGTTGCTGTTCCACTGAAGTGTCCGAAGGTCCTTGCGAGAACTGTCGTCAAACTCCGAAGACCCCATTGCTGCGATAGGCACAAACCTTTGCTCAAAGTAGCACTTATTTAACGGTGAACATCAGTAGCTTTTATCCAGTTTTCATATTTGTGTGAAATGTGCAAATCTACAAAACAATTTCTGCCTACTTTCTCTCCATATACAATTTACTACTGGTGATCCCTGCGGACCTCCATGCATGGCGGTAATTTGGATCATGCCCGTCATGCCGATCAAGCCTCTCCGGCTTCAGTTTCGTATCGAGAAATTCTTTTTCCCCTTCATCGAATTCCACCTGTTCGTCATCAGAGGCTTTCGTGGGCAGCCATCCGTATATGTCAAGACCCAGTCATCTCTCCGCCGCTTTACAGTCATCATCACGCTCATGGATCAGTTGGAAATCATATGATGCTGTTGACCAGCCTTTCTAGCTCCTCCTCTCGATGTTCCCCATGGGTTTGCTCTCTTATGACGTTGCGGAGAGCCTGCTCCATTTCATAGTCTTCGTGAGGACCTACTGCAGCACTCGCAGCTTCTGGCTCATCTTGCATGATTCATGTTCCCTTACATACCTCATATTGTTGACGTCCTGTACATGCCCGTTTAATCCACTGCACAGCTCACAGTAGGAAAAGTCACCAGCGTCCCGGAGCGTCGTTCGGTGATTGAAAGTCGGTTACCATCTCAGTGTTTCCACCTTCACTCCTAGGCTATGACAAGTTCCACCAAGATCATGCCTAATCTAGCAGATAAATCACCGAACTCGAACTTTCTATCTATTCAGACACTCTCATGTCACCTTCATCACCGCCTCGGTACTTGACGTTCAGGTGGCAACGTCAAAGGTTCAACATGACGGAACCACCTGCCAACTTTAGTATCAGATTCCCTCGGAAGGCAGTTTATGCTCCTCACCAAAAGGCTACCCGAAGCCTGATAGTGATTCTCCTCCGGTCCATTTCTTGGTCTCTATGAGGCGTAAGTTGGCGACAACGAGTGCCGCGCTGAATATGCCCATCAAATGACTTCCTTGGTTCTTGTGTCTGCTACCTGGATGCTCGTCACTTCAATCAGTCGCTGGGATGGACTACAAGTTTTGCTTTCTTCGATTTAGGTGCACGTCCTATACAATTCCCTGTATTGTGACTTTCTCGTTGGATTATACTCAACTCTTTGCAGGATCGTAGTGTTGGTGTTGCATGATTCCCCTTTTATGTGGTGCGGACTTCGAGTCTGATGATGACAGGAACATTGCTGGGTTCCTCTCTTTTGAATGCATTGAACTGTTGACGCCATTCCGCCGGCGGTCATCCCCTTAACCAGCCAGGACCATCCTGGTAGATGGCTCAATGGAAGACCACCACCCAAATAACGAGGTATCGCCACTCTTCTCACTGTCGAGTGCATCTGCGGCACGGTACTTAAAGAAAGTACTGATTTTGGACACTGGCTCTTAGTGCCGAGGCGAGATGTGTTTATTCACTCCACTTGTCGAGGACGGAACCCGTACCTCTAGCAGCTCAGCTAACTCGATGCCGTCCTGCCTCGTTGAAAGAGGCCATGCGGCCACCGATATTCCCGGCAGTAAAAAGGAGAACACCCGCGCGAAGACACCCTGCCAACCTTGCTGGAGTGGCAAATCGGTCTGCAGTGAAGGATACGCTCCGCCAAGAACATGGCATCGTCGCGGCCATCGTCATTACACAATGCGGTTCTTCCTACGGCACCGGATACACTTACAGGTCAAGGCATCGAATAAATAGAGGACTGGTGATTGATCTAGACCATGTGAACAAACAGTCAGGGCCTTGCTCCCTTGACGTTAGTTTGGAGCTTCTAAAGAGTCCGCAACGCCGACGCTCACAATGTCCGTCGCCCCATCAGCGTCGAGTACATGCAGCTGGACCACGTTCCACCAAGAGAGAAAGACCAGAAGCTATGCTCGGTCACACCAACTGGCTGAACTCCGTTTCCTCGTCATGGACTGGCGTAGGGCGTGAGTCCGTCCTGCCGGCCGTGTCGGTGTCTCGAAGGTGCTAGGGTCTTACTTCCCACCTCTCTTCGTTTTCTGTCCTTTTCGGTGGCCTCCGGTGGACAGAAGAGAGCTTGCGAGAAGCAGGCTGGTAATTATCGCTCCGTTTATGCCCAGTCGCGAAGACCGTTATGCTCGCTGCCATGTCAAATTCCGCGAGAACGCTCATTTGCCAGCAATGCCTGTCGGTCCCGAATGGCAAATATGGTGACTCAACATGTGCGTGAATGGCTGAATTAATCTGGTGGCCAGTGAGAGGCGAGACCGACCACGAGCGGGCAAAGAGTCTGCGCAACTTCCGTGTTGCGCGTTGAAGGCATCACGGTAGATACGGTCCGGCGTTGACGGTCCGTCAAGCCGGGAAAGTCTGAAACAACATCTCCAGCCCCAGCTGTCTGGAGGTATCTCTCGATGGAAGGAGGGTACGCGTAGGCAAATCGCCACTGTGTTGAGTCTAGAACGACAAGCCAGCTCATCGGAAGATGCTGGGAAGCTAAACTGCTGATGTCGGGTCACCACTCATGTGGGCCTCCAAAGCCCTTCACCACGAAGCGTCACATCGGTTTTGCAGCATAAGATGGGCCTTTTGCCATGTTTAAGATTGATAAGGCGCCTCTGTCTTGTGGTGTCGACACCGGGCAAGCTTCCTTTCCGTAAACTCTCTCCAAACCGCACTCCTCCTGCCAGCCGCTGGATCTGTGTAGAAAGAGTCACGCCTGGAACTCGTCTTCACCCCAACTTGCCCGTCTCTGCTTCTTCGGCTGATTGATATGCTTTTCGCGCCCACCATGG